TACAAGTTTTTAGCCTGTTTCATTATGAGTCTGGACTGTGGAACTTCATCAGCTGAATCTCTAGTTTGAATCAATTAATGTATTTCACAAAAGAAGCCTAATTATTATCTAATGGCAGGGTTATAGTTCTAGTGATATATCAAAAGCCTCTAAACTGGCCAGCTTCTTCCCAAACTTTTCCCAATAAAATACTCTTATACTAACATATACTCTACCAGTTAAAAAGTAGCATTAGGGGAGAAAAAATATTTTTACAGGAAAATATGATCTGCTAAATCTAAATTAACCAGTCTTACTGAAAGACTTTCCATTTCTTAGGATCTTTTAGGATAGACTACAGAACACACTTCTGTACAGATTCACTCATTAGCAATGTTTAAAGAAGATAAACTCTTTCTTGTTCCTTTCTGCTTTGGCTTTAGAGAGCCCATTGTATGTGTGCAACCAAAAAAAACAAACCTGAAGAATAAAAAGAGAGAAAGGAAGAACAAAACAAAAAAACCCACACACAACCAAAGAGCACAAGGGAACAAGAAGTTCTTCTGTTCTTTAGTTCTTGCAATGTTCTGCTGCCTTGTATTACTGCAGCTGTAAGAGCAGCCAGGGAGCCAGATGGAAATATTGATAACCCAGGGTCTCTTGCCAGCAGCTTCCTGCAGGTGCAGGAAGAGATTGGTCAAAGGCTAATGCAGTCTATTCATTAATGTCATGTTTTCCTGTTCCTAACCCCAGTGACCTCTGAGTGGTGAGCATCACGCTTCCCTTGGGTAGCTTGTTGACCCAAGAGTCAGGCTTTTGTGGCTTCAGCCTTAACGCTTTTGTTTGTGGTTCTCAGCCTAAACCACTTTAAAGTGCTGTTCTCTACGTGCTTTTGAGCAAGCTGTATGGCTTCCCATGGGTGTTGACACAGTCAAACTGGAATTCATTTTTTTGGACTAATACCAGTTTCAAAAAGTCCCAGTTAATGAGAGGTTAAAAGTCTTTGTTGGCTTTAAAGGTTGCCATTTAGATACAGTCTCTGTACTTGAGCCTTCATCATATCATAGAAGCCCTAGATAATACAGTTTGGAAGGCACTAAAGGACCCTTATCTCTCAAAAATAAGTATCTTGTGCTGGTTTGGGTTTGGGGGTGGTTTTTTTTTTGTAAACTGATCCAGCTTTATCAGCATGAAGAGAGAGAACAGATCACTGTTCATGGAAACTTTGATTTTCAAATTTAAAATGAACATTTTCAAAAATATTAACCAAAACGAAAAGTTAAATAGAAAGCATAAATAGGTAAAGATTATGAAGATTTCCATTATATGTAATCTCCTTGGCCACAGAATAGGAATTAGGACAGGGTCATATATCTGTGTTGTAAGTATTTCTTATAGAGAAAAATAACATCAGAGCTTCTCATATCCAAACCAAATTAACTGCTTCTAAGATACATACCCCTGTGTATTTAAATTTTTCCAGGAGTGCTACCTGTAGAAGGTTCCTAAAGTGTAAGTCATAGTACATCAAGACCTCTGTGTTTCAGAAATATGGTGATAAAGCATAGTGGAGTAAAAGCTGAAAAGTTAGTAGTGTGTTAATCCTCTCTGCTTTATAAAATGCATTGCATCCTGCTTTCAGGTGGGTGCATGTACTTTAAGTAAATTACACTTCATGTTGCTTGAAAGTAATGAATGCTAATGACAGATAATGGTGTTTTGTTTCCAATTAGCACTGCCAAGAGAATCAGTGGTTTCTAGAGCTCATGATCACTGTATTTTCCAGGAACAGTCTGAGAACTATAAAATTATATAAACAAGTATTATTTATGCTGAATGCATTTGCTGATTGCTTCCTTCTCAGCTGGCCATAATGCAAATGGAACTACCTCTCTCTGTAGTTCAGTAATTTTTAAAAAAAGAACATGATATTTGTAAAGCCACAATTTATCACATATTTTTATAAATATCACCCATTGTTTACTTTGCTGTTAAACAGAGGAAAATGTCTACAACTAAATGCATGTAATAGATTATAGTGACTATTCAGAGATGTTTAAAATAAAACAGATGAATGAATAAGCAGTCTAGCCCACAAAATATGAGTTTAAGTCTAAGTCTGGTATTTCATAGTAAGAATTAAGTTTTATTCACTTACATATTCTTCAAAACACTTTTCAATATGAGTTGGCAAGGAATTTGAAATGCCATTTTGGCTTAAATCTATGAAAAAGATGTTATATTCAGGGAAATAAAGTTGGAAGACTAAGATGACAATCGTATTGTGCTATGAATTACATGTTTTCAGAAGTGTGTTAAGTATTATGCTCACAGACATCAAATACCTGGGTATTTGCAAAACACATTTGCAGTGTGTAACAAATTACTTCCTTTTTATCATTGTAATACAGATTGTTGCTTATTTTATGATTGTTTGTTTATTAACTTAGTATTTTGTTGATAGTGTGTTTCAGTTCAGAATGTTCACTGCAGGATTTTTAGCTCACATCCTTATCTCTATGATTGTATGTTTTTTCTCAAATAAAAGCATACAAAATCAATAACGTAGCAATGAATCTTTTACCTGCTCTTGCAAGTCTTGTGTTCTGCTGGATGTTTTGTTGATGGGCAATAGCTCAAGGCCCTCATCAGTGATCACTGAAAGCAGGATTGCTGTTGATAAGTTAATGGCCTTTGGATTGCCCTCCTTTTAGAGGTAACCTTTGGAGGCAGCTGCTTTGGTTTGCAAAAACCTATAAGGAAGAAGTAATAGCATCTTATCTGCTGGCAGAAGATAGGAGTTGTTGTGTTTTCTTTTAACACCACTCACTAGTCCAACACCCTCCTCTAGCCAGGAAAGCAGGCAATATGCCAAAATGCAGCTTCTAAAATTAGTTTTTCATGTGGCTGTCTGCCAGAGCTGGGTGGTATGTCATGTGTCTGTTCTGAACAGTACAAGTCATTTCTTATGTCTAAGATTTGTAAGTATGACTGGATAAATGTTTTAACCCTGATGCTATAGTGCTTTACTTCACCTTACATAATCCTGTAATTTCATTTAATTGGCTACTAAAATAATTTCAAAATAGTACAGAATGAATATTGTGTTCTACCAATAAAAGATGTATTTTTTGTGTTGGTTTCTTGCATAATTGCAATAGGACTATTTGTATATTTAGATAATTAATTTTCAAATAGCTGGATGGTTTCCATTATCCGGGAAGTCTTGACAGTGATTGTGTCCTATAGGGCTCAGTTGGCATTGGGAAAACTCTTCATTGAAGTGTTAACTTAATTTCATTCATGTTATTCTTATGTCTATTCTCTGCAACTGATTTAGCAAATGAATTTCACCTCTCTGAGATACTCGTGTCATTGTAATTCACTCATGTGAAAGACTTCTGACTAAACTACTGAATTAATGCACACAATTATAGTTACATTTTCAGTTTAAAAAAAAATTTTTTAAATTTAAAAAAAATACCCAAATCAATGGATATTTGTAGCCAAAAATTCTGGGAGCTATCCCCGGCCTTCAGGGGGTGACATGACTCAAGTCAAAACATCTTAACTGTGTGTTATCGGATACACGCAGTCCGTGTTCTTGAGTGAGATAGAGAACATGAATCATTCTCAGAAATTATTCCAATAATAGTTATGGATAGCTATTAAGTTCAATAAATTTAAAATCTGATTACAGCGTGTTTGTGAGCAAAGTTAAAATTAGGTTAAGAAAATAATTGTTACAGATTGCTTGTTTAGCTCTATTGCACTTCAGAGATATTTCTACTTGCAATCCACTGTCAACTAAGCTTCTCTCTCAAGTGTAAACTAATATTTTAAAAACAATAATCCAATATGGAAAATGGCCTGAGCAATAATGTTATAATTATAGCAATATTGATCTGCTTGCCTACTTCTGTTCATTTTGCAAGACTCTATCTCACACAGTGTCCATGGAGAAAGAAGCAGAAGAAACAACAACTAAAAATTATCAACAGAGAAAGTGTTACATTTTCTGTTTTATTCACTGCAGTTTGAAGAAATACATTCTAGTGGAGTTCATGGAGTTTGCAGATTTTTCTGGGCAGAGACTGATTCTTGTATGCTTACATGTTACCTGAGAATAGAAGTAGCCTGATCTTGAATTTGGTATCAAAAACACAATTCAAACTATAAATAATAATAGCAGTGAAGCAAAAATGTGAACACTTCCCTTTCCATTTATGTCTCAGCGGCTGAATTTTTTGGATGCCCACTCCGCTTAATAGCTGGGAATTGCTGATTATCAGAATGTAACTGTTATCTGAAATATTTTCATAACATGTTAATATGACTATACATAATTTTTGAAAACAGTGAAAAAGTGAGTTTGAGACTGTTAAGTGTGATTTTGCACTCGTAGACCCTCATTTATTTCAGTTTGTGTTTTATTGATCACTGTGTAAAACTTTCCATGGGTGTCCAATAACTATGTAAGGAAAAAGGCTGTGAAGAATCAAATTTCTCTCTGCAGGCAGTGGTAACATGCTTCTTCTTCAGGATCAAAGCTGGAAACGTGTCAGTGTTTTTGGTAAAGTTAAGTAGTTTACAGGTTCCACACCATACGATACAGTCAGCTTTGTGAAAACAAACCACACTGAGTTTGGTAACACTTAAATGTTTAGAATTACAGGTAAATGAGGATGGTTTAATAGCAGTGAATGATACAGTGGTCTTTTTTCAGATCTCATTTGTGCAGCTAGAATTTCTCTCAGTCATTGTCACGTCTCTAGGTTTGCATATTTAAAATCAAATTTGGTTTTTATGCTGAGTAGATAAGAAATGTTATGTACTGTACAATAGCTTGTATTGTCACTTATACATTTTCTTTCATATCTTTAAATATTCCCTATGCCTGAAATTCGCTGGACTATGCTATCATGTCAAACTGTAAAAATGGCTTTTATTTTGTGAGCTGTGTTTTTGTTTTGAGTTGTTACCCATGATAATAGTGACATGGCTATCTGAATCTGTTACAGTGTGCCTGAATATTACGACTATGGTCACGGAACAAGTGAAGAGGCTTATGAGAGCTACGGTAAGGTCTCTTCTATCTTCTGCAAATGTGTGAAATCAGAGGAAAGTGTCTGTCACTGGCAATTCAGAAATTACTTCCATGCACTTTATTTCTCTCATTTTACAAAGACCAAACAAAATAGATTTGTGTAACTTTAGGGTGAGTTTTGACATAGGACCAGAAAATTGGACTGATGAATTTCAATCAAAATTTCAAAGCCAGTTACTCACATTCACAGGTCAGTTTAACAGCAACACAAAACTTTCTGTTGGTGTTTGAATATCTTTCACAGTGTTAAATTTCAGTCTGCTTGATTTACCAACAGTACTATGCATCTGCTGTTGTCATGTGCATCATTTCAACTAGCAAGGTTGGTGAGATTTAGAAATAGAGACTTAATCAAAGTGGAAAGAAGGAGAGGGTGCTGTATCACCATGTGAGCCCCTCCTGCACCAAGTCTGAGGAGCATCTCATGCCACACTAGGCAGTATGAGTAGAGGGGGGGCTGCAGTCTTTGCACTTCCCCACTGAGTTTATGTCTGAGCTGGAACAGTTCCACCTCATGAGTACAGGGAGCATGAAAGGAAGAGAAGCTCCCCTGAGTACAAATCTTTTTCCAGACCTGTTGTTTGCTATTAGTGATATATTTCAATAACTGGCGTCTAGACCATGTTTTCCTATTCATAATTATCAGTACATTGTATCAGGTGGCACAGTGAATCTCACTCAGAGATTTTCATTGAAATAACAAGTCAGCTTAAAGAGTAACCCTAATATTCAGCAGAGCTTTAATGGCTGATTTACTGCTTCTGAAGTATCCTAAGTTTACATAGTGACTTCCTCAGCATTGTGAAAATGAGAGCTGCTGGAAATGATGCTGCAAATGAAAGTTACACTAAGAGGTAATATAAGGGTTGCTGCTTGAAATAAATAATTCTATTCATGCAGCTGTGAAGCAAATGTCACTAATGCTAACTTGCAGTTTCCTTTGTATTGTTACAGAAATAGACTTTAGTGAGATGTCAAAATTATTGCATTGCATAATCAGAAATAACTTTTTTTTTGTACAATCAGTTCTCACAATATATTTGGATGATACAATGTGCAGTCAAGCACATTTTCAATGCTAGGCAAGTAATAATAATAGTTTATCCATGTCAGTGTGAGTGGTTCAGTTACCCTTTGTTTTGCTTCCTTTTTGCACATACATTTTTAATAGCTATAGTGGAAGATCCTTCCTCCCCTCTACAGATCCCCTCTCCACTGCTGTCCTGAAAGCACTGCTAAGCTTTTAGGCAATGCAGAAAATAATAGTCTGAGCTTAGCAGTGAGAATTACTCACTGTTTCACTTTTAATTACACTCCACCATGCTAAATCTCCATGTGTTTGGGCAAGACATTTAAAGTAGTGTCACTTTCCTTCCAATCCCTCATTTGTAAAACTAGAAGAATATTACTTGTTTTCCCAGCAGGGATTTTGAATGGACTAATTAGCTAAGGCTTACAGAGTGTTCACAGAGTGGCATCATGACTAAGTTTATGCTCTGCATGAAGCTCCTTTTTTTTTGTTTTCCGTTCAGCAGCTGAAACAAACCCAATATGCCTGGATTTCCTTTGCTAGACTTAAAATACATGGCTTATAACTGTGGACTTGCTTTAATTTTTCCTTGAACTATTTTCTGAGTTGGCATTTGCATACAAAGATCTGAGTGTTATCAATCACCTGGAATAAACTTAAAGTTGAATAATATTTCGAATTGCAATTTTGCTACTTCCTGATAGTAGATACATTTATATATAACTGTTTATGCTACTCTTGGTTCACCTGCTTAGGAGATTAGTAAATTTGCCAATTTCATGCCCTGGAAATACATGCAGGAACTTCTGTCATTCCCAAGTCACCACTATTTATCTGAGAAGGCAATCTGAGTACACAGAACTATATAGCTATAGAATATATGCTTAACTTCCTCAGTTTCTGAGTTCTTTCTGCATACATTGATGTTCTCTCGGTATCTGATCTATCACCTCTTCTCGTCCTCACCTAACTTTACCCTAATTCTCTGTTTCAAGTGCCCTACTTTTTCAGGATGTTTTGTAACTCATTGTGAGTCTCCTGAATCCATCCCACTGTATTAAATCAGCAACCCCTTCATTTTCCGCCATCCTGCAGAAGTTAACTTTTTCTTTCATTTCAGTTCAATTTCACACCTTGTTTTGCCTTCCATAACATATTTCTCCTTTACAATTCTTTCTGGCACACCTCTGTAATTCGAAATTCTTCCAATCTCTGAATAAGACCACAGACAAATGGTGCATGAATGAAGTCTTGTTGTCAACTCTTAGGTGTTTTGTGCAACAACTTATCCCTTATCCTTTTCAATAACAATATCTAAATTACCAAAAATTTACTAGCTTGGCTTTTTTTTTTACTTTCTTCCATGCATCCTCTTGCTTCCAACTTACCTTTAGGGAGGACAGTTTTCAATCCTGAGAAGGTTTTTTTTCATGTTTTGTGAAGTAGATTCAATGAAATAATAATGCTGCTTCGTACTTAGAATCTTTTTAAAGTATAAAATAGAGATCTTTGTAGCTTCTTAAATATAGAGCACAATAGTACTCCTATATGAGCTGCCTGCTATGACTTTCCTTGCTATCTGTACTCCTGAGAAGTAGCAGGTGGTTTACATCTCATGGGTTCTTCTCTGCTCCTTTTAAAAGAACTTGTGGAGAATTCTGATTGGGGAAACTATTTCCTCAGAAGATCATAAGATTTATGTATTTATGGATTTTACACAGTATGGTTCCAAAAATTAGAGGAGTGTTTCAGAGCAGAGCCCACCTGAACACCATTTAATTCTCAGGAAGTTCACATCTCTTTGATTAGATGGAAGTACAAACCAAGGAGGAATCTAAGTCACTTGTAAGCTGGGCAAGATGGATTCCTAAACAGTATTCACTGCTGTAAAATCTATAACTTAACTGCCTTAACTCCTTGCTCAGTTTCTTTTGTGAAGGCTCATAAGAATTCCATCTCCAAATCCAGCCAAGGCATCTCCCAAGACAATAGGAAGATCAGGGATGTATGTAGAATCACACTGCTTTCCATGACTAAGGGATGTTCCACGAATGAAAATGTACAGTACAGAGCCCCCTGATGAAGTTAGACACTTAAGCTGTGTTGTGATTTGACATGCTTGTCACCCAGTCTCTCAGAAGGATCAAAGTAGAGACACTTCAAAGCATTCCCTGCAGCAGTCTCTGAGCACATGGAAATACAGTACTCAGGAATTTTGAGATTCCTACAATTTTTTTATAAGAACAGGAAGCTCCTTTTAAAATTCTACTGCTATAGAATTTTGAGGATCGCTGTTCCAGGCTGAGGAACATAAATTTGGGACATATGCCTGAAAATCTTGGGAATGTCACCCTTGTAGACTTCTTCATGTGAGTGGTAAAGTAGCATTTTTAGAAGGCAGTTTAAAAACAAAAGACCAGTCATTTAAAGTACTGTACAAATTTTCAAAGATGTAAAACATCCTCACCTCTAATCACATTCAACAAACATTTATGATACTTCTGTCACTGAAGGTTTTGATGCCTGCAGATAAGTCTGAACTAAGGTAATGGTGTCATGTTAACTTGATGCTTATGTTTTAAGGGAGAAGGCATGAAATTGGATTAATTTATGAACAAAAGGTTTATATTCTTTGCTCTCATAATACATTAGTAATTTTGTGGTTTCCCTTCTGGCACTGTTGTCATCTGAAGAAATATCTAGTGAAAACATGAATTTAATGATTTGTCTTACAAATCGATTGGGATAAAATATATATTTAAGTTTGGTAACTAAGAATCTTTCCTGCCCATATGTAATGTCATGCCCAACTCCAAAAAGCATCTTCCCTGGAAAAGACCACTGTAAATAAAAAGCCCTTTGTTACCAATTAATGTTCTCATTTCTCTCTCCTTTTCCCTGTTTTTTGTTTTTTAGAGGAAGCAGCATTTTTGAGTCAAGTGCTGTGTTGTGTTAGGCCACATTAGAGAGATAACAGAGAAGAGTATATGACTTGCAGGCCAGGCAGAACCAAGAAGCTGTACTCATTACACTGAACCTGCTTTACTGTTTGTTTGGTTTTTTTTCATCTGAATCCTGTTTTGCCCTTGTACTTATCAGAGCATTCCAAACTTTGTTTATCAGAGGCTCTTTCTGTCTTAGCTCTCCCAAGGCTGCTGCAGAATGGTCCAGAGGCTTCGGCCCCTGCTTCCAAAGGGAGACTGCCACAGTAGTGAGAGTGTGCCTCTTGTCAGATGCCACAGTTCACAGCCTGGTGCATATCCTGCCTTGTGTATTTCCTGAAAATTATGGCCATTATGTTTTTATGTCAGGTCAAGAACTGCAGTATCTGAAAGGCCAGTACACTCAGACTTCTTGTGCTACTACTGAAAAAGCAGAAACCCTAGACAGAATGAAAGGATAGGTTGAAGTCTATAACCTCCTAAACCACCACAATTAAATTAGGATAACACCATCTGCCAAAGGCCTTAGGCAGGAGTTAGAAAGTTTAATCTCTAGCTTGGCACCTATACAAAGAGGGAAGACATAAATGAACTCCAGTCACATTACTGCTGCTTTTCAGGAGGAGCGTGCAAGGCTTTTACTGCATGATCTGCCATTGCATTAAGGAGACATTATTTAAATATTTTTTGTCTTCACCAAAAATTTTGAGCTGCTGAGATTTTCTTAAATGACCATGTTTTTTTGATGCATGTTCTACTCCAGTTTAGCATTAGGGAATTGTAAAGAATTGGGTACTTGAATTTAGGATAATTCAATTTTTAACTAAAATTGGAGTGTGTAACTGTTTGGTGGAATTGTTTTTAATGTAAGACATCATTAAAGTTATAAAATGCTGTCACAATGATTTAACTATTTCACAAATAATTCCCTGCCAGTCACTCCATATAAGAGCTTTGTAATTGTTATAACAATTAGTTTACTGAGTAATCCTCTACAGAGA